CCACGGCACCTAGCCACAACCATGACCATAGCACCTAGCCACAACCGTGACCATAGCACCACGGCACCTAGCCACAACCGTGACCATAGCACCACGGCACCTAGCCACAACCGTGACCATAGCACCACGGCACCTAGCCACAACCGCAACCACAGTGCCACGGCACCTAGCCACAACAGTCATCATAGCACCACTCATTGGACACAGCCATGAGCCCAGTACCCCAATGTCCAATACCCCACAACTCTCCAGAGAGATACCCCGATTATCTGGTTCCTGCCTTGGATAAGTACCCTCAGGTAAGCCACACAGCTATCAAATGGTGTGGCTGGGGTTCGACGCTTCAACTGCGAGGCTCAGACACCCAGGCACCTAGGGCCTTACTAGGGAAAGCAGGAAGGGGAGGGATGAGAAAGGGGCAATGGCTTGTATTTGCCAGGATGGGAACCTAGCTCTCTCTCCCTTGAAATCCCTACCAAGAATTCTTCAGAAAGGACTTCAGCCTCCACGGAACTGCGATGCCTTGAGCGGCCACCGGAGGGCGACGCGAACGGAAGGCGGTTCTCACTAAGCCCCTCAAAATCAGTCTTCAGTCAAAGTCCCACCTGCCCAGGCGTCCCTGCCCCAGCCCAGCCTCACCTTCTGCCACAGGGACTCGCGGGAGGCGAGCGATGAGCAGGCCGCCACAAACCAGCAGTTGCCCACCTGGCCCTGGTGCAGGTCGTGGGAGCTGATGCCATCCACAAAGAGGCGGGGGTCCTCGCAGATGTCCTGTGGGGAAAGGGAGGGGGAGTGTGAGGGGACCACACACGGACGCCAAACCCCGTGGACCGTCAGCTCCCCCAGGTCCTGCCTGAGTGGCCCTCTCCCCTTCCTTGACCGCTGAACCCCACTGCCCGGCCACAGTTTGGAAGGAACATTAATAGACGGAGCCTGCTGGGCCCATTTCCAGCACCACTCCCAGCCAGCCCCTGGGAACCCCTGTCCGGATGGCGCGGAGGCCTGGGCACAGGGGGGACAGAGGACAAGGAGCAGGCTGGCAGTAGATAAGCTGAGTCCCGACTCGACCCAGACTTTACTCTCCTGAGTTGGGCTGTTGGGAGCCCTGGAGTCAAAATTGCCTGTCCCGTTTCCCAGGCTGCAATATTTTGTTGATATTCATGTTTTAAATCGGGTCTCTGTTTTGGGTAGCAGCATTTGGACTTTATTATTTTTATATAGTGGAATGCAATTCACATATCACACAATAATCTTTATCACGACTTTCTCTCTCAGTCATTTTTTTGGTAGTAGTAGTACTTGGTCTTTATTGTTTTAATATAATGGCATGTAATTCACATATCACACAATAACCTCTATCCCGACTCTCTCTCAGAGTCACTGGGTGGGTTAGAACCGCCAACCTTTCTTTCTGTCGGCAGCCTTTGTGCCACCAGGGGATGCCCTGACAGAAGAGGATGGAGGTTCAGTCACTGAAGGACAGTCATTGGCCAAAAGCATAGGGCAAGCAAATGCTGACATGCTTTCTGATTTCACCATGGAAACGGGGACAGTCACAGCCAGAAGGCGGCACAAGGCAGGAGGATCCTAGGCCGAAGGAAGTCTCCCCAGCCCTCTGAGCCCTGGGCTGCCCCAAAGTCACGGCCAGGGAAAGCATTCACCCAACAGGCTGTCCTCAGGCCCTGCCCTTCTGAACTTCTGAAAGCCCCTTGCTGTACTCACCGGATGAGCCAGCCTGGGTGGGCTTCAGGACCACCTGCCCTGCCCAGAGGCTCAGGCCGGGTTGCCCACCTTGGTGCCATGGGGCTTTTCCTGAAGGGGACTGGGGACTGGGACAAACTCAGGCTTCCCCTTCAGCCAAAGCACCTCCTAGACCTGCACTTTGGCCAGCTCTCTGCGTCCTTGCCTAAATTGTGTTCTCACCTAAAATGCAGAGACAATTCCTACCTTGTGAGGAATCAAAGTCCATAAAATGCCAAGCCCAGGGCCAGAAGCAAAGAGCAAAAGTCTGTTTAACCTTCCAGGAGACGGGAGACTGCCCAGATCTATAGCAGAGCTCCCGCATGCCTGCCGGGGAGACTGCCTGCAAAGGGTCCCTCACGGAGGGCTCCCCCACCCCCTGCTGGGCAGAGGAGCCAGCTGGATCCCTGCGGTGGCAGGGCAGCAGAGAGCACCCAGGGTGCCCTTGCGAACTTCTACAGAGCGCCCTGAGTGCCCTAGGTGTATCAGACTCGGGCCCGAGGGGCAGGGGGACACGCGGTTTCTTTCCATCTTCCCATCCAGATCTCTGCTGGGGCACAGGCCCACCCAGGAACCCCCTCCTGCCCCATCAGCATCTTGACTTCACTCCAGTGAGAGGCGGCACTTGGGGTGTGCCTCCCAGGGGATCAGCACCCTGCTGGCACCACACTCTTATTTAATACTCTCCGTGGTCCTAAGAGGGTTTGTGCTCCCTTTACAGAAGAGGAAACTGAGGCCACCACACAGCACCCCAGGAGGCAGTGGGTCTACCTGTCTGCACCGGGCTGGTTCAATCCAGCTGAGCACCTGCGGGTCTGCCGAGGCGGCCAGCAGAGGGCAGCAGAGTCAGAAGTCAGGATCCAAATTCCAGCTCCATCCACTGGAAGCCTGAGCAATGACTACAGTAGTGGGGCCTCTATTTCCTCCCCAGTGGAAAGGGAAAAGAGTCTTCCCAGCAGGGTGCATCAACCCTCCCCAGGAGTTCCTGGAGGCAGGGCACTTGGCCCAGGGCCTGGCTCAGAGGGAAAGCTGGCTCCAACCCTGAACCCATTAACACCATGTGGCCACAAGTGCCCCACGGGCCCTTCTGGGGAGAAGCTGCCTCCCTCCTCCACCCTCCTGGCCAGGCTTCAGTCCAAGCTGGACTGGGACAGCCTGTTCTCTAGGATGAGCTCAGAAACGGAGGCTGGGGTCTCTGCCCAGGCTCTCAACGGAGGCTCCAGCACAGGAGAGGGCACCGGGCTTGTCGGGTATGGGCACTTCTTTTTAACGAATGTCTTTGAATCTGACAGGCCCTCCGGCAGCTTGTCCACATTCCAGGGACCGACCCCTGATGACACCCACTCCCCTCCTTCCCCACAGCCCAACCAGGCACAGCCTGTCTCCAAGTTCCCCCCCCTCCCCCCAACCCACAGGCCAGCTCAAAAGCCTACTCAAACCTGCCCCTGCCCCTCGGGAGAACACTGCCCTCAGGGCTGCTTCTAAGCCCACGCCACAGGGCTGCCCAGGCAGGACCAAGCTCCCTGCGGGCAGTTCTGACTGACCCTGACCCTGCAGGACCGGGAGCAACTGCCCGGTGAGTGTCTGAGCCGGTCAGTGTTTTCAGGAGTAGAAAGCCCCATCTGTCTCCTGCCCTCTAACTTCCTGCCTCTCTCGGGCCCTGGCCCTTTGCCCTGGCACAGGCCTCCATCTGTCTGGCCCAGGCCAAGGAGACCGGGACCCAGTGCAGGTGCCTGGAGGGCAGCATTCAGAGGGCTGGTGGCCCTGGAGGCTGGTGGGTGGGGACAGGCACTCGAAATTAGCAGATGAGGTCTGGCCACGGCCTAGAGATGGGTGTGGCCTCTGTCGAGACCCTTCTCTGGACCCCGCTCCTCCCTTCACTGCCCATACCTGGGGTCATGCCTGTCCCCCACCGCCACCCCTGTCACCAGCACATGAGCTACTGGGTGGGACAGGCCTGACTGCCCACCTGCAATGTCAGGGACAGGGTGTGGCTGGGGCTACAGACAGGGCCTCAGAGAAGATGGGGTGAAGTAGCCAACAGGGTCAGGCCTGGGTCAGGCAGCCCGGCCCAGAAACCAACTGCACCCGAGGGGTGGGGTGGGGACCGCTCCTCTGGTCAACATGCCTTGGGCACTGCCTTGTGCACCTGCAGTCACCTCCTGACCTCTCCCCCTTCCTAGCCTGTTAGACCAGTTCCACTAGAAGCAAGCCACTGCCAGGAACCGCCTCCTTCCAGGGCCAAGAAGGCTTGGGGGCACAGCAGATCCACCTCCCAGCCCCCTCCTCACCCACCCAACTCCACCCACCCAGTCAGCCAATAGCCTCATGGGATGACTGGGGCAGCAGAGCACAACCTCTGCCCAGCTCCAGGGATGAAGGGCACGGTCCTCAGGCATTCCAGCCCTGGTCCTATCCCTCCACAGAAGACTGGCCTCCCACCTCCTGCCCCCCATCTCCTTCCACAGCAACCCCTATCCTAAAGGCTACCCGCCTGAAGGGGGGTCATTCCTGGGCAGGACAGAGCCTCAGGTGCAAACTACCAGTTTCTCAGCATCTCTCTCTCTCTGTTTCTCAGCATCTCTCTCTCTTTC